ACAGCCTCGCCAACATTTGTTATTGGTTGATGTCTTAATGATAGCCATTCTTACAGGGGTGAGATGGAATCTCAGTGTTGCTTTAATTTGCATTTCATGAATGACTAATGATGTTGAACATTTTCTCATGTGTTTATTTGCCATTTGTATTTCTTTATCTGAGAAGTGTGTGTTCATCTCAGATGCCCATTTTTGTATTGGGTCTTTGAATTTTGGGGGGGGGCTGATATTTTTAAATCTTTATATGTTCTAGATAGAAGTCCTTTGTCCAAGGATAGTCAGCTAGAATTTTTCCCCAATTTGTGGGTTTTCTTTTTACCCTGTTGGTGATTTCTTTAGATGTGCAAAACTTTTCAGTAAGGTGAGATCCCAGCTGATTCTTTGAAGTATTTCCCATGCAGTTTGGTTTTTGTTCATGAACTCTCTGCCTACTCCTATATGTTCAAGATTTTTACCTGCTTTCTCTTCCAGTAGATTTAGTGTTTCTGTTTGAGTATTTAGATCTGTAATCCATTTTGACTTGAGTTTGGTGCATGGTGGTAGACATAGGTCTAGTTTCAGTCTTCAGCATGTGGCAAGCCAGTTTTTCCAGCACCATTTATTAAAGAGGCTGTCTTTCTTCCAGTGAACATGTTTGGCCCCTTTGTCAAAGAGAAGGTGGCTGAGTGTGTTTGTGGTTTTGGCTGCATCTTCCAGTCTATTCCATTGATCCTCAGGTCTGTTTCTTTTACCAGTACCAGATTGATTTTATCACAGTAGCTTTGTGGTATAATTTCAAGTCAGGGATTGTGATGCCACCTGCCTTGTCTTTGTTGCCCAGGATTGCTTTTGCTAGTATGGGTCTCTTCTGGTTCCAGATGAATTTTAGGAAGGTTTTCTCTAGATTGGTGAGGTATCTAATGGTATTTTAATTGGAATTGCATTGAATATGTACAACAATTTAGGAAATACGGCCATTTTCACAAAGTTGGTTCTTGCTATCCATGGGCAAGGAATTTTTTATTCTCTTTACTGTGAGTAACTAATTTAAAGATAACAATGCACAATGTACTAACCATTGTTATCTTATTTTGAAATTTTGTTTTATTTTTTTTCTCTTTAAGATGAAATTTTAAAAGACGAATCATTTTTAAAACACTGATTTCTGGCCCAATCTGAATTAAAATCCCTGTACATGGAATCTGTACTTTTAAGAATGTTCTCCAATTGGCTGTGATATTAAAGCTGGTATCATGAGTACTGTTTTCAAAGTTGGAAACCATAAGGCCTTGGAGTGATATGGTTACCGTCAAGAAGACAGCATTCATTGCATTTAAGACTCTTATTATCTCAGAAATATAAAAACAAAAGCCAGGTAGCAGAAGGAGGGAGATAGGCAAATCCCTAAACCCTAAAGCAGAATACGAAGTGTGACAAGGAGGGAAATGGAGGACACACTGTACGGCCAAGGTCATCCCCCCAGCTAGGCAGGCTCTCGGGGCTTAGGACAGAGCCCTGCAGGAGGAGGACACACCTGGCCGGGCCAGGGAAGGTGTGGGTGGCAGCAGGTGTGCATGGAAAGCCACTCTGGCTTTGTGAGCAGTGCTGGTGGCCGACGTGTGGGTACTCTTGGGGAAGGGCCCTAGGTGGGAAGGGCCTGCTGTGCTTTTCAGGTGTCTGAGGGTGCAGGACAGGCTCTGAAGGGTTCCAAGCAAGGGTGTAATAATATATTTGTGTTTCACAACGTGCATCCTGAGATCCAGGCAGGAGAATTAGAAGTAATTGTGAATTAAAGACCACAGAATTCCACAGCAGAGGTGCTTACTTCGCAGGTGTACAGCCCATCACAAGACCATTTGATGCTCTTAGGTGATTTAAAAAGAGACCAGCAAAGCACCTGCACCTATTCTGAGGAAGAAAACCAGGAAAAACCATTGGAGCTTTTGCTGACCTTCAGCTCAACACTTTTGGTGTTGAAATAATGAGAGGAAGATGTAATATTAGAAACAAGTTTCAAATGGCGGAGCAGGACACATTGTTAAGGGAACGTGTACTCTCAAAGACACTGGCATGACCGGTTTTCTCATGACTTTTTATATTTTCTTTGTAAACACTCAAATAGGTCACTATTTAAAAAAAAACTAATGAAGTTTAAGTGATTTATCTTAATGGAATTAGTTTTATAGCTGCCTGGAAGTACACTATAATTAATACGAGTGTTTATCCTACCTTTTCACTTTTCTTTCAGTTGATTTTGTTCTAAAAGACCCCAGAGAAAAGGAGGACGACAAAAAGCCAATCGACCTTCTGCCCCACCGTGCTGAGTAGGTGGTCGGGGTTCCTTACGGCTGTGTATTTCCTCTGACCCTGGCAGCTTGTGTTTGTATCTGTACACTCTGGCTGTATTTTTTCGTATATGTGATTATAATTTATATCTAAACATATGCATATGGTATCTTCAAATGCGTGTGTACATATTTCATATACATGATTGTTTTCATGGTCTTTATTTCTGTATTTAAGTCCTGGCATGTTACATTTATAAACTTGTGGATAAATGGACAGATAAGTAGATATATGACAGATGGATACTTAAACATTAAAACAAGAAAATCGTGAAAAAGCAATATAGGTGTTTGTGGCTCCACAGCAGGTAGCACAGGCTTTAGACATGGCAGGGGCATAAAAGCCTGATGGCAGTTTGTGCAAAAAGCAGATTAGGGTCAATAGAGAAAATGTGTATTTGTAGAATATACTTCAGTGTATTACATGGATTGAAATATAGAACATAAAATGGGAAAATCCACTTGCCATATATTTTCTTCTAAAATGATTAACATTTAAGAATAAATTTCTTATATAGTTTAAAGAGTGAAACTTAGTTTTATATAATTGTTAGGGTTTGTTTCTGGATGTCCCCCCCAAAGCCTCATGCAGTCATGGGGGGGGCGCTTCTAGAGTTTATGACTGATCCATAGTCGAATGCTGGGATTATGGCGTGAGTGTTACACCCGCCCTGGGGCAGGTAGTTTGCACACAATTTAAGGGAGGGAAAGAGGCTGCTTTCCACTGCTCCTCCCTTTTTGCTCTTGCTGCTTTTGCTGTTTTCTGCTGCCATGAACTGTTGCCCTCTGCATGTGCCAACCTGCCTTAAAGCCAACCAAGTATGGACTGAAACCTCCACAAACTGTGAGCTAAATAAACCTTCTTTCCTTATTTTGGCAGTCTGGTATTTTGTCTCAGCAAGGAGAGAAAAGTAACTAAGACTATAATTAACCAATTTAGTTTTACTTTGTTATTTAAATGTCATTTAGGAGTGTTCCAAGAGGCTGGGGATTTAGCTCAGGGGCACAGTGCCTGCCTGGCAAAAGCGAGGTCCTGAGTTCGATTCCCGGTACTGGAAAAAAAAACAAGCAAAAAAAAAAAAAAAAAAAAAAGACCAGGAGTGCTCCAAATTATCTCCCTTATGACAAAACAAAACCCAAAACCACAAACCCAAAGGCTCAGGTAGCCATTTCCACATAAGTTCTACGGAGAAAATCTTTTCTTTTCTCCAGGGAAAGACAAAAACCATCCTTCATAGTAACTGTGTGGGTGATGGTGTGTCTGTGCCTGAAAAACTGAGTTACTCTTACTGTGTAATAAGACCAAGTCTTAAGATTGTGAGAATAAATAATTGTAGCCATAAAATGGATGTGTTTGAGTCTATAGATGCTGGAAAATATTCTAAGGTGAAAATGCACTTTATACCCAACCACACATCGTCGCAGCTGAGCAGTGCAGTGCTGTCCGGATGAGTAGCTGTTTTTGAACTCTGGATGGCCCAGCTCACTGTGAGCAGCAGTGCCTGCCACAGCCCAGCCCTAGGAGAGAGCACCCTACCTACCATAGCACGTCGCTAGCCTGGGAAAGATCCAGCTCCCCCGCAGCATATGTACCCCACATTCATTGCCTTTGTACCAAGAGAAAGCAAAAAAATCAGAAGTCCTACTATCATAAACTGGGGACCATCTGTATTCTGAAAGACAAAGGTGGCATTTCTGCAATGGATAAAAGAAGGTTGTGCGAGTCTTAGGAGTTGCAGAATAAATGTGTCTTCGAATGAGAATGGTAGAAAGTGACTGTGGCTTATAAATGCTTGTTACACACTAAGAGATGATCAAGCTCAAGGGTATTTCCATATCGACACTGGACTATGTCCTTAAACTACTTTACAAATAAAGGGGAAATTCTAAATGTTTCCTATCCTGAAATTAACAGAGAACCTTTGTATATGAAAGGCAGCTGGTTATTGTTTCCATTTGATCACTAACTTATTTGTGGACTCAGTAGGATCAAAATTAGGTACTATATGTGTTAAAGACTCAAATCAATTTGATAGTCACTATTTAGGAAATTATACTAACCCATAAAGACTATGTCCTGGATATATTTTAAAAAATAATTGCACATTTTGTTGTTCCCGTAGGGATACACCATAGTTTTTATTAAGATTGACTCATTATTACTCAAGAAGTACCTTGATTGCAAGCGTCCTACCAGTGTGTCAGAGCTCCAGCCTGGTATCATCCTGTAACTCTTAAAGATGAGAGCTGTTTTCTCTTTGGTTTCAGAATGGAAGTTTTGCCAAAACCTTGGAGGAAGTCATTCTTAGCTGCGACTACTTACATCAGAGACCACCTGAATTCAATGAACTCCACGATGCTGGCTGTGCTGGATTTGTGGCACAGTACATATAAGTGAGTATCTGGTGCCTTCCTGAGCTTTTAGAAAGGGAGGTGAAGGTTATTGCTATCACATCTTAATTATTTTCACTACTTTGACATCAGTTTCAAACATTCCCCACACATTCATTGTAAGTATTCAAGCACAGTTGTAGGTGAGCAGTATGGAGATACACAGAACGAGGAGTGACCACTGCCTTCTATTTCCACCCACTGCTGCCCTGTCCCCTCCCGGGGCCACACGGACTTTATCACAGTTAAGGAGCTCAATTGTAAGACTTTGTCTAAAGTTAGGCAAAACAAGCCAGGTATGATGACATACACCTGTAGTCCCAGCATTCTGGGAGGCTGAGGCAGGAGTATTGCAAAGTCAAGCCCAACCTGAGCAACTTAGCAAGACCCTGTGTCAAAATAAAAAATAAAAAGGGCTGAGGATGTTGCTCAGTGAGAAGACCCTGGGTTCAATTCCCAGTGCCAAATGCACAGAGAACCCACAGCATCCCTGGCAGAGCTTAGAAACCTAGCCAGTCGTGGCCAAGCAGATGGCATGGGTTGAGGCCCCCAAAGGACTGTGGGGTTGCAGTGGGCGCAGGGGGCATTGTCTTGGTGAGCCAAGTGGTGCTGCTAAGATGTGCTGCACAGAGCGGCTTGGCCCCCTGAGACCAAGGAGGCGGTGCCAGCCTCAGGGTGCCCCGTCACGTCCGTTCCTCGGTCCTCGCAGGCCCTGGGCCTTGGATGCATGCACTTGGATGCATGCTTTTAAAATCTGCTCAGTAGCACAGGCTGACGTTGTTTTGCGTACACAGAGCTTCTCTGCAGGCATCCCCAGAGCTGGGCCTGCATCTGCCCTGCGGGAAGAGAGATGGCACCTCAGCTCTGAGGCTGTAGTACAGAGGGGGTCTCCATCGCTGTCCTTCCCTGGGACACACCACCTAGCACAACCAGAGAAGAGGAGGCATTTTTAGGGGCCTTTTTAGACCTAACCCATCACAGAGGGGTCTGAGACGCCTGGCCTCACCGCTCAGCCAAACCCCGTCTTAGGCCGGACCTGAGCCCCAGAGACCTCTGGGTTTTACTGCATGGGGAACAGTCAATGAGCACGTTCAACAACTGGGCTAGGACCCTGAAAACTGGCTGTGGCTGTCAGGCTGTCCATTCCTGGGAAGTGCAGCCTTCCGACTTTTCACTGTGCTGTGTGGGTTTCTTTGTCTGCTTGACTTGACTTGTGGACAGCAAAAGGCCATCTCTTTACCTCATGTGCTTCCATTTTTTTTATCTTTTGGGCGTTGGGGTCCAGACACTCTTCCTGACAAGGCCCAGGGCTTCTTTTTTGCGCAGCCATAAGGTCATACAGAGTGCTACATCAGCTTCTCCAGGATGTCTACGGCCTCGGGCACATGCATTTTCAACACAGGACCTCAAACTTTTGTTCTCCTCTACCTCTATTCTCAGAGGGAATTCCCAGAACACACCGAGGGTTATTGTCCGTAAAGGGCGATCTGTAGCCTGCTAGCCATTGTCGGAGGGTAGGAGACAAAATAATGAAAGGAGAAAGGAGGAGAGAAAATACCCAAGCTGAGATTAGAAACTAGTAAATTACAGCTGTGTCCAAAAGCAGGCCCTGCGGTTGTGGTGGCAGGGACGCTAGCAGAGCAACAGAGGTGGCCGAGAAGAAGCAGGAAGCAGACGGGGTGCTCCCTGGATGGACGTGCACATCCGCGCGCTGGTTGTAGCTGCACCTGCCGCAGCCCGCTGCGGCAGAGCCGGCCTTTGGAGCACAGTCACAGCCGAAACAACACGGTGCATAGTTGCTTGAAAAAATGGCATACAGAAGGAAGATCACAACCAAATGAAGAAATTACATGATATAAATTACAGCAGTTGAATGTAAAAGGGATACGTCTGAGAGTGTTAAGCTCATCTTTTGGGCTAAAAGGGGTTTTTATCATTTATGATCTCCCCAAGGTAAGCCCCAGAACCCTGGATTCCTTCAGGGTAGAACATTCAAGATTCAAATTAAATCACTCTTAAATGTATTTAAAAGATGTTTACTGTAACACTCAGTACAAGGAGTGCAGAGAGGAATAAAAACCACACTGAGAAGCCACTCACCACCCCCCAAAGAGGACAGAATTTAAACATTTTGACACGATGCTTTGTTGGTGAGGCCCACAGAAGTGGGTCCCCTTTTGAGGAAAGCCAGGCGTACTTACTAAACTTAAAAATTGCTCTGGAATCCAGCAATTGTACTTCTGGGAAAGGAGCATACAGATACACCTGAAAATATAAGGAATTATATAGGCATAACCTCCTTTATTGTGGCACTTGGTTTTTAAGTAAAAACTGGAGAAACCTAAGTATCCTTTATGGCAGAGTAGTGGATAAGTGGTACTGCTTTCTCACGGTGTGTAATTCTCATTGCACAACTATAAAGAGAGAGCCAGGAAAATTGTACCAACATGGAAAGCCACTAGGATGTGTTGACGGGTGGAAAAACACATGCAGGACATTGCCTGCAGGGCTTTGAAAGCAACAAAGGAGGACTGGGCAAGGCAAAACATGTTTCTAAGATAGGGAAACCTTCCTAGGCCACGCAAGGAGCATAGGTACTTGGGGTGGAGTTTGTGGGGCTGTTTAGACCCAGATGAGTTTTGAGAACTGGAGAAGAAAGTCAGAGGCTGACTGGACGCTGGGTTCAGGGTGTTGGGCCAGGACCTCAAATTCCCTGTGCCCAAAGTCAGGGATGGAGCTGACAGTGGAGTGGGTTTCATCCTGGGGTGAGGAGCAGTGACAGGATGGCTGCCGGAGCCCTGGGCCCCTGACAGTGGAGTCTGCAGGGATTTACTTCTGCCTGGGTGTGGTGGGTGAAGGGAAGGAAGCATTCAGAGAAGATTCTGAGTTCTCAGGGTGGGTAGTTGGGAGCCACTGGGTTCTGAAGAAAGCTGAAGAGTGATTTTGGTGACCGGAAGACTCATTGCTATAAAGCTTTCTGAGTCATATACATGGTTTCCACTGCTAGCTGTGTGAGTTAATGCATAGTGAAGAATAACAATATTCTTTTTCCTGACTATTGTCTCAGCCAGTGACTTAAACACTGTCCCACGGCTGGCTTACTAGAGGGACCGTGCTGAGGAAGTGGGAGACGCGTCTGGTCTTCTTAACTATTCAGCCGCTCAAACAAGTGGGAAATTATGACCAGGGGCTTCATGGGAAAGCCGGGCTGTCAGACTTTTCCATGTCAGATCATCGCAGATGGGACCTCGGCCTGCAATTCTGTCTCAAAGCAAATACTGAGGAACTGAGGAAAATGGGTCTGGGGGCTCAGGGGCAGAGTGAATTCCAGGGCTTCTGCCCTAGCAACGACTTCTCGGTCCGCCTTCTTTCCCAGTACATGCATCTGTGTCCTGATTTCCAGCAACAGCTTTAAAACGAAATAATGTTGAACGTGTTCACCAAGAGGCATAAAGGGAGATCAGATTGTTTTTAGTATATGCTGTTGCGCTACACTTTAGAAATATCTTACATAAAACATTCATGACATCACTTGTCTAGAATAAGACATTGGAAAGCTTCCTTAGCGATGGTTGTACTTATTTTGTGCCTAATGTATTATTAATGTCAAGTACCAAGTGTATTACAACTGGAGATGAATTGTAGCTTGTAAAAGAAATATAAATATAAATAAATTTGAGATGTGTTTTGTTTACCAACCAGTATTTTACATTGGTCTTTAGGTTAAAAAAAATTGAATGTGATGTTTTTAATACTGTGCTTACTGTCTTCCAGAGCACATTAAAATTACCCAATCGCATGGAAATTAAATAGCAGCTCCTCAAGGGAAGGGATCTGTAGTTAAACTGAGGAGAATAGCACAGTGGTACTAAGAGCTAATACTGTTTTTCATTTTGGTTAATCATGAGCCAGAGAGAAACTAAATGAACAAATCATCTATATAACAGAGATCGGTAGTGCTGTCATCTGAGAGGGGATTGTATTGAGCATTGTGGACTCAAGCAAGCCCTGCATTGGAAAAATTCAGACAGGTTCAAAGGATTTTGCTGTGCTGAGTCTTAATTGGGTGGGGAACGCCTCCACCCCCTGGCTGCGGTAGGGCTGCTTGCTCTTCAGAGAGGGTGTGAGTTTTGGTTCAGAAATGACTCCTGTAAGGACTGAGCTCATCTCTTCCCCCAATTTAATTGCTCCATTTTGAAAGCCAACTGCAGCCTACATTCTCTATCAAATCCCTGTTTTTGCACTCCTCTGCTTCACAGTGAAGCTTTATAAGCTCGTACTGTATTCCTGTTGAATCTAACAATATAAATTATTTTTAAATTCAGGATATCTCATGTTCTTGAGTGCTTATTTTTACAGAATATACTTTCAAGATAAAACCTTAGGAATATATATTTTTGAGAAGAAGCCAATTAACAAAAACATTACATGCCAAAAAAGCCTTGACCTTGAATTATCATCTACTTTTATCTCTTGCAGAAAATTACGTTTAGTGGATACAGAAGAATTCCACAATCGCCAGGATGCACTAGAGCTATCAAGCTTCCAGAACATTATCATGAAACACATGGAAAATGCTAAAGAGATTCTGCTTAAAATGTAAAGTTTTGAAGTTCCATGTAGGGAAACATAAATTTAGAAGTGTGACTGGAGGGATGTTGCATTTTAACTGCTTTAGAAAACCCCATTTCAGCAGTCTCTTAGTCATTCCTGAGAGGTGTGTGTTTTTAGTTGTCTCTGTCTGTGATGTATCTCCACGTGTTCTACACAGCACAGATTGTGCAGGAACTGAAAGGACCATGGTTCATGGCTGCATTTTTCCCACGCATCTGCTTTTTGCCTCTGGTCTGAGAGCAGTATGGGATGCTGTGCAGGGAGGACCACGAAATAGTCAGATATTTATTTGACAACTATTATTAAGACATGCAAAGTGTGGTGCCTCTTTCCTCTTGATTTTGGGTGAGGGATGCTTATCAAATGATAATTAAATATCTCCAAGGACTGGCCCTTCAGAATGGAATAGCCACATAGGGTAATTAATGATGTAAGTGGCCAAAAATATACTCTGGAACAACATAGGAAGGTTATCTCTATCATAGGTCATTAATTTATATAAATAGGACATTAAAATTAGATCAAATTTAAAATAAGAAAGGACACTAAACTTCTAGCATCGCTTTCTGATTTCCAGATGTTACTTAGAAATGCATATTGATAGTTTTAGATTGAATCCTTCCTTTGCCTTTGTTCTCCAAAGAGTTAGGATTGAATTCTTTGTTTGCTGTTACTTGAAAGAGTTTTAGCTTTTAATTACATGTTACATTTACATAAAAAATGAGAAGCAAAAAGATGAAATCCCATAATTAATTAAGGAGAAGAAAATGACCTGTTAAGAATAGAGTACACAAATTACCTTGACCCGTACCTGCAGGGTTATGCCCCAGGAATGTACTGCTACTGGAAATTCTAGCACAATGCCTGTCAAAGTAAAAAGGAGAGTACAAGCCTTTATTGAACCGTTTTTGCTCGAAAACGCAGATTGATTAGCTGTATCTCTTGATGCTTCCTAATGGGTTATAAGGGAGAGAGCTGTCTGACCACACTTCAGCGAGCCAGAGTGTGTTTATCATCTCTAAAACGCAGAACGTCGGCTCACAGGGGAGACCTGATTAGCCAGTGATGGATTGTGACATCTACACCGAACCCAAAAGTCCTTTCCAGTCCTCATCATCCACGTCTCAGCAGCTGCATGGCTACGTATGCAGCTTTCTGGAAACCTATTTTCCTGTGCTCTGCTGCTTCTTTGGTAGTTCTCATCACCTCTTTTCTGACTGTACAGTCTTATCATTCCCTAAAAGTAGGGGTTTCCTCGGGTTTTTGTTTGTTTGTTTGTTTTTTGGGGACAGGGTCTTCCTATGCAGTTCAGGCTGGCCTTGAGCTCACTTTGTGCCCCAGACTGGCCTCGAATTAGCAACGATCCTCCTACCTCAACCCCCTGAGTGCTAGGATTACAGGCATGTGCCACGCCCCCACCAGCACCCCTTGGCCTTTTTGTTGTCTCTTTTCTGTTTATTCTCTCCAGAGTTTCGTGATTTCCTCTGTCTTGGCTCTTTTAAAAATCTTGCATGTTTTCTGAGTGCTGGGTCCTTATTACTGTTTTTATACTGAGCATCTCCAGGTGAACGTTATGGCAACATCTAGTTGTCTTTTTTTTTTTTTTTTTTTTTTTTGGTTTTTCTCCGGTACCGGGAACCGAACTCACGACCTTGTGCTTGCCAGGCAGGCGCTTTTGCCGCTGAGCTAAATCCCCAGCCCCTTGCAACATCTAGTTGTCAGCATGTCCGTAACAGTGTTTGTTCGCTTTCTTCCAATCCAGCTGGTCTTCCCGTTGTAAACCTTTCCCAAGGCAATGTAGCAATCTTGTGATGATGTTTTTATGGTCTCTTTTGCTTGTTGTGTGTACCCTCACTACCACTACCCTGTCCCAAGCCATATCCTGGGTACTGCTATTCTATTTTTTTATTGTGATGTAATTCATTTATCATAAAATCCACCAGTACAATGTGTACAGTTCAGTGGCTTATTATATATATATATATATATATATATATATATATATATATATATTACCAAGATGGTGTGGCCATCACTGCCGACTCCAGAACATTTTCCTTACTGCTGAAGAACATTTTCCTTACTTTGGATCTCTCAGCAATAATTTCGTATTCTCCCTTTCATAAGCACCTGGTGAACACTACTGTACCTTTTGTCCCTGTGGACTTCCAGTTCTGGAAATTTCATCTAAGTGGGATGATACAGCACATGGTGTGTTACTTTTCTCATTGCTGAGACAAAATACCCAATGACCAATGTTAAAGGAAGAAAGGTTTATTTGGCTCACGGTTTGTAGAGGTTTCAGGTCATACTCAGCTGGCTCCACGGCAGGGTGGCGTGGCAGAGGGGCATCACGGAGGAGAAACAGTTCAGGGAGGACAAAAGGTAGCAAGGAAGCCAAAGGACCTTAACAGAAACTTTCTACCCACTTTACATTGTACGTAGGCTACTGAGATTAAGGTACCAAACCAATTAAGATTGCCAAACCAATCAGTAGACTGATTTAGTAATCACACACCCTTCATCCCACATGGATGTAAAGTGGTAAATCCAGCCAACCCTGAAAAAGCCCCCGCTTATAACTGCATGAGGCTTTGGGGAGTACCTAGACACGAGCCATGGCACATGGTCATTTATTTCTGGTTTCTTACCAGCAACAGCATGTTCTCAAGTACCAAAACCCCAGTGGCGGGTTTAGATCTCCCACCCAGCAGTATGGCGCAGACTGCAAAATAAAATAAAGACAAAGAGAAAGTTCTACAGATGAGAAGCTCTGAGATGACCCGGTGTTCTCGGTGGAATAAAGGCCACGTGTCCAAAAGCTCCTGGCTTTCATCGGTGTCAATCAAGGAGGTGGGTGGGGGTCGGAGTAGAGCACTCAGGAAGAGGAGCTTTGCAGGCATTGGCTGTAAGGAGAAACACAGCAATTTTGTGCCAGGCACAAAGGCTCTAATTAGTGATGTAATGCATAGTTCGATGCATCCAAGGCTGGCACCTTTACTGCCAGGAAGGTGTAATTCTTATTGAGTCCCATGGCCTCAGCTGAGATGTTATCTCATGTCTTAGCTCTGGAGTCTCACGGGCTCCTGCTCAAACCCCCATTCCAGCCAGTAGGGGAGGCAATTCCTGTCCGCGTGCTGCAATGGGACACACTGGCTTCTGCACCAGACCAGACTTGATCACATTCTTTTAGCCAATGAAGGGAACATCTGGGTCAATATAACCAGCTCTGCATATCTCAGTTGAAGTAAAGGTCAGGGAAGGAAAGAGGCAAGGGCTTCGTTCCTCAGGAGAGTGCAGTTGGTGGTCTCCCACACTCAGGGTTTATCCCTGGTATGGCATGAATCCACATTTCATTCCTTCCCCTGGCCAAGTAACGTGACGCTGTAGGGGTACACCGCAGTTTGTTGATTCACGGCTGGTGGACATTTGGATTGTTTCTACTTTTTGGCTTTTAAATAGTGCTGTGAAAGCTTGTTTTGGAAGAACATGTTTTCGGTTTGGGCACATACCTAGGAAGGAATAGGATTTCTGGGTTATATGGTAACTCTATGTCTAACTTTTTGAGGAACTGACACACTGTTTTCCAAAGGGACAGTAGGATTTTACATTCCTACCAACAATACGTGAAGGTTCCATTTTCTCCACATCTCTGCCTGCACATGTGGTCCTGCTTTCTCACTGTAGCCGATCTGGTGGGTGTGAAATGGTATCTCACTGTGGGTTTGATTTGCATGCCCTAATGACTGACTGTGTGAGCGTCTTTGTACATGCTTTTGTTTGTTTATTTATTACCTCAGGGTAAATGTCTATTCAAATTCTTTACTTAATCGAGTATGAAGTTATCTGACTTCACTGCTGAGTTGTGAGAATTCCAGACCCTTATCAGGTATATGATTTTCAAACATTTTAAAAAGTTATTTTTTGTCCAATGCATTTTCTTCTTTGGAAATAATCACGTTTCCCCTTATTAATATTATTGATATATCGATAAATGTGATTACATTTATCGACACATATATAGTGAACCTTGTATTCCTTGGTTATGACATATACTTTTTTTTATGTTTCTGGATTTGGTTTCCTAGTATTTTGTTGGGAATGTTTGTGTCTATATTTATAAGGTGTATTGATCTGTAGTTTTCTTTTTCCAATGAAGTCTATGTCTGATTTTTGGTATTAAGGTGATACTGGCACCATAGAAAGAATTAGGAAATGCTCTTTCTCTTTTCCTTTTTGGTCTCTGAAAAAATTGGTATAAATTCTTCTTTCAGTGCTTGGTGGAATAACCCCTGAATCCCTCTGGTACTGGGTCCTGGCCTTTTAAAAAATTTTTGGAAGGTTTTTGATTATTACCTAAACTTCTTTACTTCTTATAGGTATGTCCATATTTTATATTTCTTCTTGAGTTACACTTGGCAATTTGTGTCTTTGTAGAATTTGTCTATTTCTTCTAGGTTATTAAGTTTGTTGGCATATAATTTTTCTCTATAGTCCTTTATAATTCTTTATATTTCTCTAGGGTATTAATATCTAATCTTTCATCCATGATTTTTTTGAGGGATTTCACCCAGGGCCTTTGGACTGAGCTACATCCCACCTCTTTTCATAGTTTTTATTTTGAAATGGAGACTTGCTAAGTCACTGGGTTACCCAGGCTGGGATTGAACATACAGTTCTTCTGTCTGAGTCTCTCAGAGCCCTGGGATTACTGGCGTGAGCCACTACTCAAAGCTCATCCCTGATTTTAACAATTTGGGTATCTTCTCTTTTTTCTTGGTCATACTCACCAGAAGTTTGTCAGTTTTGTTCCTCTTTTCAAAGAACTCACTTTTAGAATTGTTGGTGTTCTCTCTTGTTTTTCTATTCTCTATTTTGTTTGTTTGCATTCACATTGTTATTTTATCCCTTCTTGTTTTGAGTTCAGTTTGCTCTTCTTTTTCTAGTTTCCGGTAAAATTTTACATTCTTACATTGGTACATTTCTCTTTTAATGTAGGTGTTTACAGCTACAAAGTTCCCTCTATTGCTGATTATTTCCATCCCAAATTTTGGCATATGGTGTCTTCATTTTTGTTTACCTTAAATTACTTTCTAAGTTCTCCTTGATTTACTGGCTATTTAGGAGTATGTGGCTTTATTTCCACATAGTTGTCCAGTTCCAAGGGTCCTTCTGTTATTGAATCCCAACTTTGCGTTTCACTCCTTTCGTTTGTTGAAACCTATCTTATGACAGCCAGGTGTCGCTGATCTTCTTCCATTTTAATTCTCACTGCTGCCTCCAGTGGCAGACCCTCTCTCGACTTCCCTCACAGGTGCTGGTAGCTCCCCCTTTCAGGGCTGTCCTCTGAATCCCTGGCAGATGAATAGTAAAATATCCTGCAGGCCAGTGTCCCCCATTTATTTTCAGAATAAGTCCGTAATTCTTAACCTGCTTTGTAAGACCTTCGGCAACAGGAACCTTGGTTATCTTTCTCATCCCCATTTCTAACAAGACCTTAGCCGTGGCCATGCCCAAGTAGCCGTGACATGGAAAGCAGAATAAAGCTTCCAGGACTAGACCGTGACCATTTTTACCACCTTTAAAAGTTTATCTATGAATTAAACCTGAGGCTTTTTATTCCTTTTATTATAACCAACTCCAAATTTTTTAAACAGTTTCACTTTGTTTCTATTGGTTCAGGTGGGAATGCTAGAAAAATCTGAAAGTTCAGCTACACCCGTCTTAGGGCCTGTGACTTTTCATGTTTTTATCTGTGCATATGTAATTGTGACTGCAGCCGAGATAAAGGAGATGGAAATGAAGTAAGACCCTATTTCACACCATCAGCAAAGTATTGGGGTTCAGTGCGTGACGCAGCTTGTTACTAGGCATTCCTTTCTTCTGACCCTGGTGTCAAACCTAAGTGGCCCTTCGTGCACGAACTCTCCTCTGTGCCTCTCCCCCCCCCCACGACCTGTCTTCCAAATGCCTCAGTGTTTTGTTCTCGTAGCTCCTTCCTCCTATTTCTTTACCTGCATTCCTTCTTTCCCTCGCTAATCTACAAGCACTTTAAACACTGAGGACTATTTTGTATCCCAGTGTTTCACACAGAACAGAGATTCATACAAATATTCTCGAGATCATGAATGAGTGATTTTAACGCACGTGTTCTCTTTTCTCCAGCCGCCCCTCTCCCTCTCCGGCCTGCGCCTGCTGGGTCTCGGTTCTCCTCTGACCTGCGTGGCCTGTCTCCCTGTTTCCCCCAAGGTTTTCTTCCTGTGCGGCTTTAACAGGGTTTCCCCGGGGCAGAAACTTCTACTGTGGCTTCATCTCGGAGCTCCCCAGCTCTGCGAGCGTCCTCTTGGACGGGGCCCAGGCATTTCTCCCTGTCTTCGAGGGCAGCGTCCCTCTTGTCTGTCCTCCCCGTGTGGACCTGTGAGGATCGGATGCACAGTGCTTCCCCCCTTATTTCCACCTCAGACTCCTCCTCATTCCTTCCTCACTGGCGACAGCGCTGTCTTCACCAGGAAACCGTTCTCCCAGGAGTGAAGGAAAACTACCTCTGTCCCCTTTGGCCTGGTGTCTGCTTCCTGCTGTGCTGCACTTGCCTCATTACTGTGAGAAAAAGGATGATGTTTTATTTTTCCACATCCCCTGCAACACTGTCCTGAGCGTATAAGAGGGCATTAATACGTATTTGTTAAAAGGATGAATAAATATATAAATATAAATTAATATAAATATATTGAAGCTTAGATTTGCTGTCTTCAGACATTTAGGCAACTCCTGAAATTATATTAAATATTTTAATCCTTTATTTTTTATGAAAGCAGGTACCAAGGTTCCTTACCCTTGTAGTACTGGACAGGGAGGGATCTTACAAGCTGAGAACTTCACTAGCTGTCATCTTGATGTGCATGTGAGATCGCACCGTTCTTCTTTCACCGTGGAGTTGCACAAGCTTTTCTATCATATGCACTTGAAACTTTTAGATCGATCTCTCCCAAGGGAAAGGGCAAATAAAATACATGATTTTGTTGATTTGTTTTTAAGCAACGGTTGAACAGAATAGTATGAAATACCAAGTGGGCTTAAGCTCTTTAACCAGTTATTCATATTATAGCTTTAAATTAACAGATATGTCCCCCAGAGAACAGTTAAGAGAATGAAGAGAAGTATCTCAGAATGTCCAATAAAGGTAGTTCTCATATTTCTTCAAAAAGTGCAGGGACCATTGCTCCGGAAGTAAGATTTATGTCTTATAGCGTGCCATCATAGAGTCATTTTCTACTGGTTATGATTTAAAATTTCCTTTCCTACAGAAGTGAAATATTCCAGCACTCACATTTCAGAGAGTGGATAATGTCACTTAGCAATATACCTCTTTATGATGACCTTTGGATGTCTGGAAATTACTGTTGACGCTTAATGTAAAAGGAGTAATTCACCGAGAGTATTGACTTTTAAAAGTCCTTTGTTCTTTCAAGGTGGTTTCCAGAAGTGCAGAATATTTATTACCAAGGTAATAAAAAAAAGCAGTTGCCGGCCAGTGACAACAGTGCCAAATTGGAGTCTTTTTTCAACTGTGCCGCTACGCTAATGACTTTACAGCTGCAGGACCTCGCTTTAGTCTCCATGCAGGATTTCACCGACCTGATTGCACAACCCCCCGTGAGTGTGGTTCCCTCACCAGCGTGTGCTCCCCGCCTGTGTAGTTCAGTTCTTCCAGAGAGGAAAACAGTGAACTGTCTTTAGCATTGAGGGGGCAGGAAGTACGTCTTTAGACCCATCATACTTAAGCTGTTAAAACAGTTCATGTCAACTCACATACTTGGGATAATCATTTATCCTTTAGGAGTAGGGGAAATAAGTAGAAATTCCCACAGTGGGGGAACTGAGGTCATGAAGGCTGGCAGATTCTATGGGTGGTGCTCTCTCTTCTGGAAGAATGTCTTTCTCTTGGGCTTGTTTTTCCATGGTTCCAAAACCCACTGCTAGGCATGTTGTCCAGTGTTTGAGATCTGGGCCATGTAGTTAACCTGTAGACCTAGAAGGAACAAGTCTGTCTGTGGTCACTCTTGCTGCTTTCAGTAGAGCTCCAGGCTTCCCTGTCAAGGACAGAAGAGGAGGTGTAAGTACACACAGTATATTTGTATATGCAGTTCTAGTTATGGCTGTGTGTCGTTACCTGCGGTTATATACGTAAACATTTTTATCTGTTTCGTAGGATTCTATCAGAGCTTTCGAACACCCTGGTTTCATCATGAGGCTGATTCTTGATCACGACACCATTAAGTTCGAACCTGAATTTGAAGAGTATATCGATATCCTCGTAAACGTTTACGATGTCATGGTTAAGGTTGTCAGTTTTGTGCCAAGAGTGGAGACAAAATTGTACTCCAAATGGGTAAGTGAAAGAACCTTCTTGCTTGGGTTTGCATAAGGACACTCACTGCAGGTAACTTCTGGAAGGTGTTGACAGGTGCCCTCTGCTTCTCATAACAGGAATTGCCTGGGAATACCGGCTTAGAAAAAAAATGATATGACCATTTCTCATCAGCTTGTCTTGTAGAATACATGACCTTTCCCAGGCTTCTGCTGGACTCCACAGACTTGCTGAGGGTCAGGGTTCGTGTTGTGAGGGGGTCGAGCCGCTGAGGGTGTCTGCTTAGTACTCAGGCCATTGGCTGTAGCCCTCCATATTTTCCAGCTCTGTGAAACTGTCCTGTGGTTGGTTACCCACCACATTACCTTAACTTTCTCCATTTAAATAGTGAGTGCTCATCTCTGTCCGTCTTGTCTAAGCCATTTAAACATTACATGAACATGTCTGAAGCTTCCTTAGCTTTCAAGGTTTTTGAGTTTTGCAATGTTGATCAGTAGCTGTCTTCTTCCAGTTATATTTTTAAAAATAGTTTATAAGATATTTGGTGTATGCCCAAGAGTACAAGGATACTAGTGTGTAAATGTTTACACAGTCATAAAACTAACACCTGTGTAGCTGTACCCCAGTCTAAGGACCAGAGCGTTCCTGACACCTGGAAGCTCTAGTACTCCTTGTTACTATCTCTGCTAGCCTCTGCTGTTCCTTCCTATTTCCCTTCCTGTCCTGCCTTCTAGCAAAGAATCATCATCCTGAATCTTGGAGTTACTACTCTTAATTTTGAAAAAATGGACTTACTAATATCTTTATATCCCTAAACTATTTCTGTTTAGATTTTCCCTATCTTTGTAAAAGTTGAGTCATCTTACACGTAATTTGTGACTTCCTTTATTTCATGTAACATTATAATTGTAAAAGTATATATTTTGAGTATATTATCCTCTTCATTGAGCTCCTAATTTTTATTTTCTCATTTTCAGGAATTCCATCTAGTTCTTTTGAAATAGTTCTGATTACTTTTGATAAATTTTTGGATTTATTCATAGATTCACTAAGCTTTTAGTTCTTTTTATATGTATTAATTATTTGATTATTTTATATTTGATAATTCCCATATCTCTCTTCTTGGCCTGTCTGATTCGTTGTTTGTTGACTCCTGATTCTGGTGATTTATTTCTCTGGCTTTTTTTCCTCATTATTATGGGATTGCAAGATGTAATCAAACAATATGGTGAATATTTAAGTGAAAAGAAACACATCACAGTAAAGGACACATTGCCTTTAATCCTCCTCAGAATACTCCCTTCTCTTTGAACACACTTTTCCCATTGTTCTTGGCACTTTGTGAAGCAGCTCTGGAGTCCTCTTTCGGGAGTGTCTCTAGCTACTCTGTCCCAGCTGCCTTGATGCCCTGAATGGATTCAGAACACTTACTTGTCATGGGCATTTGGACTTCAGGGAAGAATGTCCAAATGTCACAGGGTGCCGGGTCCCATGGATAAAGTGGGTGAAGACCCACTGTCATGTTTTCACGAGCCTGCCTGCAGGTAGATGGCACATGGCAGCAGCTTTCATTGTATTTTTGATCACAGACCCTCACAAGAGCAGACTTCCAGGGCTGCTCCGGAAAATGGTGAGGACGGGACGAGTGTGTCAAAGTGAGGGCAAGGATTTGAGAGGGATTAATGACAGCGTGTCTCTTAACTCTAATAATTTTTTGAATTTAAGCATTCACCCGCGCACCCCTGGCAGCCACATAGGGCTTTGTAAGTAGCCTGAGGCTGTGGTTTAAGTTGTTTCCTGCAAAGTCTGCATACTCTGTTGATCAGTGCCCTGCAGACTGAGGATTATCTTTTGGGGAAACCTTTTCTAATGACTTTGTGGGCAACAGTGGTAGTGTGAGCACTCATTTAAATCTGAGAATCAGCACTGGGTACAACCTTTCAAAGCAACTGTGGTTTTCCTCTCTACTAAGCGACAAGGCAAAACAGTTCATTTTCCTTACTTTTCTCCCCTCAAGGGCTTCCTTAGTATTTGAAGATTTGTCTCCTCGGATCCTTCAATTCCTGTGTTCACCTCCGGTGCTCCTGGTGGTGCGCGGGGTTGAATCACATTCTCCCGTGTCTCAGGCTGTGGCTTTGTCCCCCATGGCCCCACCCCTGCTAGAGAGCCTGGGGGCGGCGACGTCCCTTCCCACCGTGGAACCTCTCTCAGCTCCTTCTTTCTCCCGTGCTCCCTCAGCCTCCCCTGTCTTGTTTAGCTTCCTAGGCCGTCCATTATGAGATAAAAGGTTAGCCCTTTTCGGCATATTTGTGTGTTTTGAACAAGTTCGTTGTTTTCTGCATATCTGTTCTTCATGTTGTCCGAAGTAGAAATTTCGAGAAACTTACTGTTTGCTTTGTTCTGTGTGTAATTCCAACTCATTTGTGGCCTTCTTTCTAATATCCTGCCTTTTCTCAAGAAGAATTTGAGGTAGCTAGTGAAACAGACAAATAGCAAAAGTTACTCAGAATTACCCAGCTCTCGGTGGAGAGTGGTAACTGTTGTCATGGTTTGAGTGGACACAGTTGCTGTGACTTTATGCTTCTAAGAAAGGGCCCTACACTTCCTGGGTTCCTAACGTGAAGAGGATACTATGACAAGTCCAGAGCAGGATTAACATTCACACTTTTCAGGGGAGAGTGGTGTTTTTCCTGTTGTCACATTCTGAGCAGAGGATCTTTCATGGGACCTGGAAATGACTTCACAGCTCTGTGCACCAGCAATCTCTGGTGACAAATCCTGGGGCTCACTGGAACCCCACCCAATGCATCCCTTGGTGGTTCTGACGGTCAGTGAGGACCAGAACCAATGATAATAGACCATTCTGAGTAGACTAATCACACACAGAGTCCATCATCTGTGGCAGAAGTTGAGGAAGTGGCATTCGTATTGTTTGGCAAACCAAGCTGTCCTACAAAATAGCGTTTCTTTGAACTAATAGGAGCGATCAGGCTTTGTATCAAAATTGTAATTTCTATTATAGTTGTGAAGTCCTCATATCTAATTTTATTTAGAAAGATTTGTAGACTTTGCAAGTTAGACAAATTAATAAGTTTAAGACACATTCTATAATGAGCTTTAATGAGCTTTCCAAAAAAACAATTCTGCATTGCATGCAGTACATGGTGTAGGCGGCCTTATCCAAGGTTTCTGTCCTAGAAAAGATGGGATGGAGCGCTACTGAGCACAGGGGCTCAGCGATGGGTGACAGGGCTCACTGTTACCTTCCTGCCTGGAGCCCCGAGCACGATTAGTTCCTCAAACGCCCACAAGGGGCGCAGCCGGTTTATCTGCCCGGCAGCTGAGCAGAACACCCAGTTCTCTACTGTGGATTATCCACTGAACGTTACTGATAAAAATCCCTCCTTCCAGATAGATCTCTGGAGAGTAGTAATTCAAGTGATAGTCATCGACACAGTTGTTGTTTTCTTACTTAAAAACAGAAGATCTGTTTGTCCTCTGGCCCACTCTCGCCCTCTGTTACTCTATTGTGGTAACAGAATGCAACTTCTTTTATTACTGTATGTTTGCAATACACAACAGCCTCAGAGTCACAGAGTCAAAGATTGAAGATCAATGGATGAACCAGCAGTCTTTGTTCTAGATGCGTACTATATTTCTTTTTTGTCTCCTTAAGATGAAAAAGTTCTGTGATTAAAAAATATGACGATATAGCCTAGGGTAGTGGTACATGCCTGTAATTCCAGCACTTCGGAGGCTGAGGCAGGAGGATTTCTAGGCATTGGAGGCCAGCTTCAGCTATATAATGAGTTCAAGGCCAGCCTGAACTACATAGCAAATAATATCAAAACAAAACAAAACAAAACAACACATAATGGTATGACATTGAACTAGTGTATTTTGTTTTAATAATATGAAGTATAAGTAGAGCCTTAGTAACATATAATTACACAAATAAAATGTGGGTTTTGCTGCTTATAGTCTAAATCTTATTTTGTATATATTTTCAAGCAACTCTTCTCTCATCCGTAATGAAAAACTAGAGCCTGAAGGAAGACCAAAAATTATATGAGACCCCTCATTGTAAAACACTGCTTTGATTAGATTGAATATCTGCACATAGATTGGAGATGTGGAAATAAAAGACCTTGTAAATTTAAAAAGGCAACGTCGTCGTAAGATTGGCATTGTTACAAAGACAAATGTCATGGCTCAAGAATTTTAAAAACTGTACACTGTTCTCTGCCCTTTCTTCAGGAAAGTAAGTCTAAGCCAACCACTTTGAAGCCCATAATTCTGGACGAAATCATAGAAGCTCACAAAAACAAGATTAAGGAGGTGGTAGAGAGGGAGAGCGTGGCCCCGCTGGAGCACCTTCATCTCTACGACAAATACGACTTTCTAATTTCCAAGAAAGCTGAGCTCGACACTGATGTGTTTCTTGAGGAAAATCACCATTATGAGAGAGTAATAGAGGAGATTCGTAAATATCAACAACTAATAGAGGACATACAGTACACGTCTAGAAAGGTAAGAGGCTGGCCTTGCGCCGCTGTCATCCGTGTCTGTGATCGTCTCTCCGTGTCATTAGCATGTAGTTTTAGAACGCACGGCGTTGCTGTCCACAGGAGCGTGTGTATAGAGCTTGTGGTATGTGCTTGGCGCTGCGGTGAAACCTGGGCATGGGGGCACATTTGCCAGGGGCTGCTGATGACAGACACAGTTTTTGTGTGCATGGAGTTGGGTCTCCGCAGCACTAATCTGAAAGCACTTTATATAATTCCAAGAACCTAACTTTTTCTTTGCTTCATGTCTATAAATCCTTTGGAAAGTACAGCATCTGCATCAAAATGTGCTTGCTTCTGCAGAGCAGAGTACTAGTAATAATTTAAAATTTTCCTCCTTTGTCCTTTTAAATATTTATCAAATTTTCTGCCGTGACCGCCTATTACTTTTTTGTACAGAGCAAATATAACATTTGAACCCCACCTTATCTTTTAGCAATACCTCAATTTTCTGAGGTTTTAAAAATTCAGTATTGCTCTGAAACGGAATCAGCAGACAGGGTAACACATTTCAAGTGTATTTATACAGAGGATGAAAACAAAACAACTCAGCCTTGTGAGGTCACACCCTGCAAAACTCAGTCTTAGGAAAGTGCCAGCATGATGGGAATCTGGTCTTCCTGTTTATTTCTCTCCATGTTGATGGAGCATTACTACGTTGCAGAGTGTCCGCCTCGGGATGTTTGAGATGCACTGTGAAGAATTAATCAGAGCGCTGGTGAAACGAGCAGACACTATTTGTGGGAGACTGATAGCCAAGATGTACAAAGACCACCAGGAACTGAACACAAGGTAGTTATGTGATGTCTTCACTTTTTAGGGAGGGAAGCGGCTGCCACTTGCGGAGGCAGTGGGTGAGAGCCGAGTCATGAGCGATCCAAAAGGGATGATCAAGCCAAATTCACTTCTGCTTGGCTTCCACTATCATTTTGTGATATGATTATTAATTTTGTCTCTCACCACGAATGTGCCTTCTTAATTGTCGGAACCGAAGTGTTATTAAGTTGTGTTTGTGTTTCTTTTACACAACTCAGATGGACATTATCTAACTTCATATTTTTAAATTTGTGTAACCAGGGTATGAAGTGGGTTTTCAAAGTAGATTTACACAGCAGTTGTCATGAGTCCTAAGATTCTCAAATTTGACATTTTGTCTGACCGTCACTACCCCTCAGAGTCACGGTGCTTGTTATTTTAAGTGGGAACTCTTTTGTTGGCTAAGCTGCGGACTTTTAGGGATGCTAACCCCTGTCAAGAAGACACATTGACTGGTAATATGGAAAGTGAACATCTGGTTATTTAGGACAATGAGTGTAACTAGTGCCCCTGGCCTCCCAGCCACTGGTGCTGCAGTTGCTTTGAGAATGTCTTTTTTATCAGTTACAGAGGGAAATACTAGAAATAATCAGAGCATTTTTATGGTTAGGATATCAGAGAAAGTAATATATAATTTAAAATATTTATCTGAAGATGGGAGCTTTATTTTACAACCCTGTGTTAGGCATAGGTGTGGGCTTAAATTATGAATAAATGTGCAGAAGGAACTTAGAACATAGAAAGGAAATAAAATACAAGCCAGTACATTGTGACTGGGTGTGGTGAGCTCTGCACTCAGGGGTAGAGGGAGAGCAGACCTGACTGCCTCTCTCAGGGCTGAGTGGGGGAAGGCAGGGATACGTGTGAACTCACGCTGCAAGGTGAGTGTGACAGTGAAGCCTGCAGAGGGCCCTGGGGTGCAGCTGAGGAGTCCTGATTGTGTGGCTGTCACAGACCCTGGGGGAAGAGAGGCCCAGAGGAGGCGGGGATGCTGGGGTCTTGTCCAACAGCCAGCATCTTATTTTTAGCCTAAAGCACGTTTTCCTCTAAAAGTACTGGGAGAATGTGACAGGGTCTTTGCGCAGAGCTTCTCGTGCAGGGTGAAATACTCATTTCACCTTCGCAGCTACTTTTCTTGCTCTTTATGCGCTCGCAACTGAAGGAGAAAAGTTTCACCGGGGCTCACGGGTCGCAGAGCGTTCGGTCCGAGTGGGTTGGCTCCCAGGCAGGGCGGCAGGGCAGGGTATCAGGGCAGAGATGAGGAGGAGCAAGGGCGATGGACCCAGGCCCTGGCCACTGAGACGCCTCTTCCCACAGACCCCAGCTCCGCGCAGCAGTCAGCTCAAAGCCCAGGTGACCCGGTCCCTCAGAGCCCTGCCAGTGCGAGCAGGAGCCTCGAGGATAGCGAGGTGGAAACAGGAAGTCCTCTGAGCTCGTGCCGGCCACCTTTGCGTGTCTTGCTTCATGATGCGAGACCAGTGGCCCTGCAGAGAACCCGTCGGGCCGGGTCCAAGAGCCGCGACCTGTCCCCTAGCCCACAGAAACTCCGTGTTTATTTGTCCCCAGCCCCATGTCAGCACTCCCCTCCTTCCTTGTGCCACCTCCACTAAATCTCCGTCAGGTCTCTGCAGACTCCATGTTGGAGGTGGTTGCTGCTTACGATCCGTCTTCACCCTGCACCGCTGCTCTGCGGGCCATTACTCCATCTCGTTTACTTCTGCATCCCTGTCCCTTAATGTTGTAGTTGCAGATGTAATAGGTGCTCATTACACTTGCACTGAATAACGAACTAACTGAACGCAAACTTGCATTTAATTCATCTGATGATATGCAGATAAATTATGATTACTTTGTTCATGTCCTGGAGGATTAGAAGAGTAAACAGGAATGCCCTTTGGAATGAAATGTAACCACGTGTCTTTTCATATCCATTTTGCCTGGCGATTTAGGCTATGTGAAGAATTTGAGAAGATAGCTGAAAAAGCTCTCAGCACCCCTCCAAACACAGCAGAGCTGATGGAGATGAAGGTATCGTCCATGAACTCTGGCTGTGTGCATGTCAGCTCATTATTGCCGCAGTGGAGCAACACATCACTCTGAAAGCTCAGACAGAGGCTGAAAGTCGTTACCTTTTGAATGCTTTGTTCATGGGTCTGCACTTGGCGATTTGGACTGGACTGCCCTGGGTGGCTCCCCTGTCTCAGTGGGGTTCTCTCCAGAGCCCCCCACTGAGTGGTGACAGCTGGCTCTGAGATGGGTTGGTTGGTGGAAGTGTGACCCAGCATTCACCTTCCCACGCCTGTTTCTCAGACCCCAGCAGGCTCACCTGGGCACTTTCTCATGGCGTGATAGAGACAGACAAGCAAGTAGTTTGCAAAGCCTGTGCTTGTGTCACGTTAGCTAACATCTCACTGTCCTGAGGAAGTCGGCGTGGAGGGACGCACGGGGCATGGACACTGGAGAGGGGAGGTACTGGAGTGACTAACACGCGTGTCTCCCTGGGAAGAACTGTCAGTCAGTATCACCAGACAGGCACAGGGCGGGACTGTCCAGGGCGACCTGAGATGTATGGTCATCCTCATTTTTTAATCAACAAATATTGAATTCTTAACCAGTATTTTATTTTGTTTTCTGTAAGAGCTGTATTTTGTTATAATTAGCATTTTCTGTGGTAGCTTGCAGAGATCTGTTAACACTTTGAGCATAGAATTTATGGCAAAAGATTGTCTCACTTTGATTCTTTTTCATGTTACTTCTGTGAAGTCTACCTAATGGCAAATAAAAAAATGCCCAACAACTAGTTAGTCACCATTTCATTTTTATTCTTCTCATTCTTACAGCATTTAGCTTTTATAGGATTCTTTTTTTCTAGTATTCCAAAAATCCAAAATAAAGTCCTCTTATTTTTAGATTTTAAAATATTTGAGTGAAACACCCAAAACAGATAAAATTACTTGAAACTCTGAATAGGCAGACATTCTAGTAATTATGTATACCCAGTCTTCATTCACTTAAATAAGTTTGTTAAAAATCAGTAGAATCAGTTTTAGTGTACACCTTGAAAGAATTTTGTTTTCTGTGAAGTGTTTGGGTTTAGATTGTGTTTTTTAGTATGTGTGTGTGTATATGTATGTAAAACACACATATATATTCTTCTTGTAATATTCTTATATTTTATATTAGTTATCATAGGCCACAATGAGATTTTTTGTTCACAGATGATTTTAAGTGTAGTTAGTTCTTAACTGTGAATTTGTCTTCATTAAAGGGAAATTCTTTTGGAAAGTGGTGACTGGCTGTGGAGAAGGTCATTTGTTTGCCCTTAGAGCCATCACTGGAAATGATTAGGAATTGGGACTTATTTACTGTGAACTTCCCTCATACCTACTAATCTTTAACAGAATTAATAAATAGGATTCACTATATAGCTTTTAAAACATTTCTATATCATAAAAAAGTTATTCCTGCAAGAACTAGTAAATTCAGTTAATATAGAAATCAGTCATTCATCATAACTATGGGGGAGCTGGGGATTAAGCTCAGTGGCACAGCATCTGCCTGGCAAGCGCAAGGTCATGAGTTCGATTCCTGGTACTAGAAAAAAAAACCCTGAAAATATCATAACTATGGGGAAATAAAAATCCATTTGACTACAAATGAAAGCTGGTTGAATTAAAATGCATATATATTTCCAGGGAGACATCTGTTGTTTATGAAAAACCCCATGGTTCACATCCTACTTATTTCGATTTGCACCACAAAAACATTTAGTCTCGCTAGAATACTGTCATATTGCTGAAATATTTCTAGGCAGTTTTACTTTTTAATTGTAAAAGTGACAATTTAAACAATATAGAACTGTGAAGATCATAGAAGTTCCTCCTTTTCTATAACAACTTTCTTTACCATAATATTCTTTATACTTTGCTGTGAGTTCTTCTCTTTCCACACTTCTTTCTCTGTATGTTTGCAGAAAGGTCAGATATAAAAAACAAAACAAAACAAGAAACAGACAGATTGGGAGAAGAGTAAAGAACTTTTATAAAAAGAGCTGTGAAATTTTTTATTTAAAAAAGTTAGAGTTGTTACTTCCTGGACGGAAGCTAGGCCACAGGATAGAGAAGGTGAACATAGGTGGTTGCAAGTAATTGCCTTTTTTCTCATTTTTTGGTGGGTAGCAGTTTTCTTTGGGAATTTGCATCATTAAAATTTGTATAAATTTAATATTTGAAAAAAAGCACTTTGAGAGAACATTTACAAGTATTGGTGGTGTATATTTATCTTGTTTCTGTCCATGCTCTTACTTTCTGAAATCCCTACCAATCCATCAAGTCTGATTTTTTCTTTTTTCTCTTCCTGGTGCAAGCAGAGTCTGTGTTGATAGTGTCGTGCTGCTGTTTCTTCCTCGGTGCAGTCTGGCCCCAAGTTCAACCCTTGAGTCTTCCACCCTCCTGCCCTGCTGGAGCCCTGCAGGCTGCTCATTGCCCACAGGGACCCGCTTGCCCCTGGGCCCACCGTGAACCCCTCACTTTGCAGCCCTGCTGCATTTGTTCCTCCTGCTCAGCCTTTTGCCGCTCTGCTGATCCTCACATCTTCACCCTGTCTGCAAGCCCGCACCTGCCCTGCACTGGTCCCCGCTAAGCATCTCTGTGATGAAACCACCCGCCCCACAGGGCACACCTTGCGGGACTTTTGCTGTTTCTGTCACTGCATTTCCAGCACCTGGCACAGTGTCGGGCACTTGGTGCCCTAGAATATGATTCTGGAAGAATAAATGAAATCATAAGAGAGTGTATGGTTCTTACCTCCCATGAACCGCAGCATCCCCTCTGGTTTTCCGTTGCTTTCTATGTGTTGCTAAGTATTTTTTTTAAGACTTTTCCCCTGCCTTTTTAGTCGGGTGTCTGGAGAGAAGAGAAGTAAAGTGTTCTGCAGTCCCTTATCTGGAACCAAAAGCCTTTCTTCCTACTAAGGCCAGGCATATTTATGCAGTGTGCTTCCATGGGCGATTGTTTGACATGGGCTGCTCCTTAAAATGCCATCTGTCCCTTTTGCTTCCCCACAGGCTTACATTCAGAAAGTGGAGGCAACTGATATGGTTGAGCTGGGGCAGAGACTAGTGGACTCCAAAAACTGCCTCGCCTTCCTCATTGAGTGCAGCACCTTTTCTCCGGCAGATATCAGGCTGAACAACAGTGTCTTCCAGTGGTATGGAAGAATGGGAGAGATCTTTGAAGAACACAGGAAAATCATTAAAGAGAAAACAGAACAGTATCAAGACGGTCTTAAGGTAGGCATCACGGGTACAGATGTTAGATGATTTTCATTCTCTGAGATTGTCTAAATTTTAACTTTTTACATAGCACGGCCAACTCCTTTGTTTCCCAGGCCATATATCGTACCTTTCTCCTACTGTAAATCTTAGAAGAAAATAATGCACATAAAGTGGGATCTTTTACGATGCTTGTTGGATGATTAAGAAGTGAGTGAGTAGTCTAGATCTATATGGGGTCACGTTTTGGTTTTCCAAGGTAATAGGGAGAAAGCTTTGGAGAACATTGCCCACAAATGACAGTTAATAAAAACAGCATTTATCTTATATAGTTTGCGGTAGTAATTTCAGGTTTTTTATGTTAGCAAGACATCCTTGTTTTCTCGGTGAGATTCTCCTTCATGTCTCATACTCACTCTAACTCTCCAAAACACTGTGCCCAAAGCTAACTTTTTTCCTTTTTGTATCTTTTTTTTTTTTTTTTCGCCTTTTTGAGACAGGGTCTCGCTCTGCAGTTCAGGCTGGTCTCGAGCTCACTTTGTAGCCCAGGCTGGTCTCAAACTCATAACGATCCTCTTGCCTCAGCCTCCTGACTGCTGGGATTACAGGAGTGTGCCACCATGCCTGGCAATTTTTCCATATAAGATGTAAGTTTGTGGGGCTGGGGATTTAGCTCAGTGGCACAGCGCCTGCCTGGCAAGCACGAGGTGATGAGTTCAATTCCCGGTACTGGAAAAAAAAACCAAAACTAAAAACAAAATATAAGTTTGTGACTTGCCTCTGTGTCTCTGCCCAGCTCTGCCTCCTTCCTGTCTGAGCTCCATTTCTGTGACCTATTCATACCCCAATCGATGTCTAGCTCTCTGCTGCACCCCCCCCTCCACTCCCGTCCGTCTCCCCAGCATGCTCGTCTCCCTGGCACACCTCTGGGCTCAGCGCAGCACCTCCTTTGCTCTCCTGGCACCTGAGGGCACCTCCAGTAGGCTGGTGGTCGGGCCATGATGCTGCTGATTTTCGGTCTGTCTCCCTTTTGGTAGTCGGGTCCTTGAGAGCAAAGTTGTTTCATTTTTATTTTTTCTCCATTCATATCCACTCACCAACGCCGTGACTGACACATGGCATCTTAGTCCACTTCATGCTTCTAAATAGAATTCCCAGACCTCTCAATTCACAAAGAACAGAAGTTTACTTCTTACCCTCTGGAAGCTGGGAAGTCCAAGTTCGAGAGGTCTGCATCCTTATTGCTGTACCGCTGGATGCCAAAAGGCAGAAGGACTAGTGGTCACAAACACACACTCGTGAGAGAGAGAGGGCAGGGGAGGAGGAGGAGGGGACGGGCAGGGAGGAGGAAGGCGAGCCTCCCCTTTCTCCACCCGCTCCTGTGATAGTGGCATTAACCCATGCGTGAGGACGGCGCTCACCTTGTGAGGCTCCCAGCTCTCATCAGGGTGCTGCTAGGGAGTATGTTTCCAACTCGGGTCTTTGCGGGCCATGCTGAAACCAGAGCATGCAGGGCTACCGTGAGCGCTCCACCCGCTGCCGGAGTGGCTCACGGAGTCTCAGTCTCCTTCTACAGAGGAAGAAGTTGAGATTCCCACAGATTAGGACAGTGGCTCCAGGTCAGCCCGCTGAGATGTGCTGTGGTCACAAGCTCTGCTCTCCCCCTGTGCCATACTACAGAAAGTACAGTTAATTCATGGAGCGTGCTTCTTGGAGAATAATTAGTACACTCAAAAAATCTTTTAAACTATGGGCTATGTTCCTGATTTACGTTTAAGGCATTTCAAAGAATTTTCAAATACGTGGGAAGACATACTGAATGCTAAATGTTAGATGTTTAAGTTACAATATAATAGACTCTTAGAAGATGGCATGGCTAGGTGCCCCAGAATTGTCTGTACTTTATTGTAAAGCATGTTATTTCAATAAACTATGCATAGTGTCGTAGGAAGGAAGTTTTCCTTCCCCCAAAGGACCAGAGCAATAAATTTACCTCTATTAAAGAAAAGAGGACATAAATCAACCTAGATAATCTATAAAATAAAAAATCTATTTTTGAATAACCCCGATTTGACTTTTGATATTTCAGTCATAGCTATTTTTAGAGCTATTTAAGTTGTGATGGCTTACCAATGATAACTTCATAATAAGAATTTCTCAGTGAACACATATTTTACGCTGGAACATAAACTGTTAGGCTTTAAAATATAGATTTATTTACCTTATGCATTCCGTGATGAGAGTTAATGGGACCAAAAACCAACCAGTCTTGGAATATCATGTTTGGGACTTGTTCTTGGAGTTGGTGTCTGAGGATTGGAAAAATTCAGTTTTTCCCAGTTATCTATGAAAATGCAACAGGTATTTCCACAGCTTTCAAATGAAGCAAACCAGAGTCTTCTTTTAGTTCCATATTTATTATTATGAGATTGTCCAAATGCGAAGTCATTTGTTAGCATAAATCCTTCCGCATTCTAAAGAATACCGTTGTTTAGCATGTTCCTTTCCAGTGTCTGTTGGAGCTGCCTGCATAGATAACACCAAGGAAGCCTCTCAG